GAGAAGGATGGTATTAATTTTACTATCATTTAGATAATGAGATGGTGGAAGAGATCAATGATAAACATGGATGATTACTGCCTATATTTCCCTTTAAAAAAATAGGAATAATGCTGACAGCCAAAAAAATAGTAGGAAAAAGGCTGTGATAGTAATAAAATTTGTTTACTAATTATTCTATCAAAAAAACTGTTGTGCAATCTAGTGTAGTCTGGACTGCACAACTGGGGACTCTTATTGTATCATCACTCTTTCATTTCGTTTTCTTTTAATATCTATGTCATGGAAATTCATCAACCAAAAGCTTGATTTAAGTGTCTCATCTTACTGGGACTTAACACTAAGAGATGTTGCAATCTATACAGGTGTACATTTTAAGAAATGGTGTTTGATGCAATCCAAAATCAGGGAAGGGGCTATCAATGAGGTTAGTACATTACAATCAAACCCCAGTCTCTCTTTATGTTTTTTATACAGCCCGGACTCTGGAAAAACTTAAGCAACCTGAAATGCACTGTTCTTTTTTTTTTTTTTAAATCATCTTGTGTAGTACAAGAAAGAGGTTGAGATGATGTTGGAGGTCGCCCGCTCATTTACCCACTCACGTACTTCTGGTGGTGAGGCCGATGAGTCCACATCCTCACCCTCAGCCATTCAAGATAGCAGCTGATGCCACCAGCTTCACAAACTAGACGCACACGGTTCCATTTTATTGTACATTTTCCTTTAAATTCATGCCATTGAAATGAAATGTACAGCTACCTCTTCTGATCGTCGTTCTTTTTTGAACTCCATTCATGTGTTCTGGTAAAGCATGGTATAATGGCAACATATTTTTTCTGTTGAGGCTGCTGGCATTTCCGTGTATGCCTATATGCTTAAAAAAAAAACATATAATAATGTAAATAAAAGAAATTCATTTTCTTTTCTTTATCAACTACAAATTGAAGTTTGGCTAATAATTAAACGTTTTGATTAAAGATTTCAAAGAAGCATATTTTTTTAGATGCAATCTAACTTATAAATTTATTAAAATATATAATCAATGAAAGTTTTTATATGTTATTTTATTAAAAATATTTTAATAATTTTAATAACTATGTTATATTTTTATTATGTAGTTTGACATGAAAAACATGAAACTCTTGTAAGATTTTTATTCATTTCTTTGATCACGTCTCTTTGGCTTAATTTAATAAATAGCCTAGTAATTTTTTTTTTTGTTTTATCCATTATCTTTAAATATTTTTAAATTTATCTATTTTTTTTATTTCAGTTTAATCTAATTTATTCATTTTCTAACAATAATGTTACTCTATTTGGTCGAATTGATCTTCAATCGTATCTTTTGTGAATTTTTACTTATTGAAATTAATTTTGAAATAAAATTAACTTTATGAGGATAATAAGTTTCTTTTTATGGTTTGAGAAACTATGGTCTTTATCATATATTGTTTCAACTTTCTTTTTTTGATAGCTCTCCTTTATAGTAGACATCACAATTCTTGATATGTTTTAATAGATTATATAGTCTGTTATAAATTGTTTTACTAGTTAGGATTACTTTGTTTTAATTTTGATTTTTTTTTTTTGGTTAAAACTAATAAAAGCTCTGTACAATAGATTTATTTGAAATATTTTATAAAGTTTATCAACCATTTAGGAGAAAAAATAACTTTTTAAACTGAAATAAAATTATATTGATAGTTAATAGACTAATCATGGAATTAAGCTTTTTGGAAAATAATTAGTGATTCAATTGCAATCTTGTGCAAAACACAAGGAGTCATTTAAGCATTACACGAGTAAGAGCATCCAGCAATCACTTAAAACGTCGCCGTTCTGTGTTCGTTTCCATGCCCGAATGCATATTTCTGTACTTCTGACTCTTTTCTCATCGTTTTCTTCTCTCTGAATTCTGATCTAGAGAGCGAGAAAACAAGGAAAGATTTAGACTTTACGTGAGGAGGGAAATGGGTGCGTCGGATTCGATTCGGAAGATGGGTTTTTTGTTGCATTTTTTTGTTGCATCAGCGGTGATTGTGTCGTCGAGGGAGCAGCTGAGTTCAAGAGAATGTGAGAATCTTGGATTCACGGGTCTGGCACTGTGCTCCGACTGCAACACTTTCGCTGAGTATGTCAAGGATCAAGGTACTGCCTTTCGGATTTAATGTTGCTTAATAATGGCAGATAGCAAATGGTTTCAGTAAGTTTTTAGATTTTGCTCAAATTGGAGTTAAATTTACCTTTATAGTTTCCACTATTTTGAAAGGAATGGAGTTTTCTTTCCAGTGTGTTTGAATTAAATATGGAATTGAAGGCTCCAATTTCATCGGAAATGTTTTTGCTGTATGTATGCTGCAATTAACTCGAAATCCATGTTTTGGTTGCAGAGTTGGTGTCTGACTGCTTGAAATGTTGCACGGAGGACTCTGATGATTCCATGAGCAAGGTATAGTATCTCAATTGCAAATGGCCCATAGTCTGGTATAATTATCATAAAAGCAATATGCATAGTCTAATTAAACAAGATATTGGACCTTTGGTAAAGGGCCATATACATGGTCTTGTGTATGTCTTTCTTTTTTATGTTTTTTCTATGTTCACGTGGTGCAGTTGCTGGGTTTCCCAGCAGAGGGCAACTCTTCTAATTGTCCACCTATTTCATGCCCTTGGTGCAATCCAACTGTTAAAGGGTTTACCAAGCTATTGGCTACATTCTAGTGTCACTCATTCTTTTGCTTACTGTGAACTTCAAAGGAAGAGACATAATGCATCTAATTCTGTTACAATTGCAGATTACTTATTCTGGAGCAGTGCTGGAGGTCTGTATGAGGAAACTGGTTTTCTATCCAGAAATTGTTGGTTTCATTGAAGACGAGAAGGACAAGTTCCCAAGCGTTAAAATTCAGTATGCTTACAACTCCCCACCAAAGTTGATCATGCTGGATGATGAGGGCCAACAGAAGGAAACTTTAAGGTCAGCTGTCTCTTTGCTTGGCCCTTTGAATAAATTGATATTTGTCTGAGCAGATATGCTTTGAGCCTTTGACCTGCTTCAGGATAATGCATAGAACTCTAAGTTTAGTAATTACATTATAGTCAAATCATCCAATTTTTAATTTTTTCCACTGAGATTTGAAAATTAATGTGCTCTGTTTAAGCTATGAAGATTCAGCCTTTTCATCCCTTTATAAATTTTCATTCTTATTACATGCATTCTTGAGAAACTATCGAAGTTTCTCTTGCTCATCAGGACTTAACCCATGGTTCTTTTTGCAGAATTGACAATTGGAAACGTGAACACATCCTGCAATTCTTACGAGAGAAAGTTAAACTTGCTTCAGCAAGCTCGTAGAATGATTTGTTACCGTCTACCTTAATTATTATGGCTTGCTATTCCTTGTTCAGGGGAGAAATTTCACAACTGATTGATTGTACATGAGGGAACATATTGCACATCTATAATTTACCAATGGAAAGTTTTTGAGTGCATTTTTGGTGGTATTCTGCAGTGGACTATAATGTTGTATGAAACATCTTGATGCTTAGATTTCTATGATATTTCCTACCAAAGGTGATAACTGCTTCTGTATATTCCGAATGGAATGAACATCTCATTTCCTTTGTTTGATCAGCAATGAACATCTCGTTTCTAGAACCCAGTTGCTTTCTAAATGGAGTGGTGTCTATGAGACTTTAGATGCTTAAATATGGAGGGTTGGTTGTGGACTTAATTAGAGGATGTTTTGGCACTTAACAAGGTTACTTTTACATATTTGGGAGCCTGTATGATATCATAATCTGGTCTGCAGAAGGACCCATGGTGCCAAGGCCCAATCCGTTGGTTGCAACTTGAAATTCATTATTAAGTGCCCCACTATAACGAAGGTGAGAATGAAAGGGTACGATATGAGCAGTGTGCTGGCATTGCCTGCTCTGATTGCTGATGGTATTGTCCTTGGCCAGAAGAAAAAAATTGATAGCAATTTGAAGAAAAAAACTGATAGCAATGTCCAAGAGTCAAATGTTGTATATGATCTGATAAAGACCCAGCCAAAGGCAACCACCACACAATTTGCTCTACTCATTACTATGTCTCCTTGTGGCATAGCAGTTGCAGACTTGCAGTCCTGGGCGGAGCAGAAAATTTTGACCTTTGCTTGAATTTGAAGACACTGCCAATCACCCAGAGCTCACATCCTTTTCAGTATATCTGAATATTTTCAAAGGAGGGAGAATGTACAACAATTTGAGAGCTATACTTTCTTCAATTTTTATTTTTATTTTTTGTCCTTAAGGACCACCCTTAAAAAAAAAAAAAAAAAAAAAAAAAACAATTCAGCAAGTGAAGAGAGATGTATTAGTGTTTTTATTGTCACTAGTGGCTTTTTTTCTCCTGCTGAGGATTAAAGTTCCAAAAAATAATAATAATAATTGTACATGTTTGATTCTTGCCTTTGATTATGAGTTTATTACTCTATATGTCATTTATTTTTTTTTCTTTATAATGGTTATATTAAGCTTGTGACAATGATCCAAATATTGATCAAGTTCATAAAAATTTAACTCGAGCATAAAAATCTTATAGAATATTTTAAATAACTGTTTTACTTTAAAAATACTTTAAAATGGATAGATGACACACATGTATTGGAGAACTAAAAACCTACATGGACCCAAAGAACTCAAATGAAAATAGTTATTAGAGGTCTACTCCACTCATTCTCTTTTTCACACACACCGCACTCACCTCTCCTCTCTATGAGACTAATCTTCTCTATCCCTCCATTCACACACACACAAGTGGTTTCTCACCAGGCCGTTTCCCACCATGGATCCATATCTTACGTTGAGCGTCAGAGTGTCAAGTTAGAGACCAACTCCAATCTCCAACGCCTTCCTGTTTTGCAAGTGTTCGGCTACTACCTTCCTTGTTTTGCAATTTCCTCACCAAAGACCAAACGGACCTGAATCTTATCTACCACCCATTGATACCACCACCAGAATCATGACTGCCCTTCTTTTTTTTTTTCTTTTTTTTGTTAACAATAACAAATTTCATTTATTTCAAGGATAAGGTAGCGAGCCTGAAAGCAATGAAACCCATAAATGACACCAGACGGCGTAGAGAGTTCCATTAGGTCACTAACCATAAACTCCCCCCTTCATCCATGCAAGGATACAGTTTATGATAGTTATACACTTATGTCCCCAATTTACATCTTGAATGATCAGAATAAGAAAGACCGCGTTATATATGTAGCTTAATCCTACCACCCTCTTAAAACAGGAATGGTGGACCGTATTTTAGATACATATTTCTCCCCTACTAAAAACCAATAATTTTGCATCCCCCAATCTACCATCAGTCACAAATTTGAGTCTGACTGGAAAATTTGAGTTATTCTATGAGTTGGTGGCTTAGCGAAATAAGTCGTCAGTGGAACGGTGAGATGGCTTTGTCCAATTTGGGTGATGGGCTCTTGATAGGTGCCCAGATATCCGCACCATTGCTGTCTGCAACTCCTACAGTGCAAGAGATTGGAACAAGGCACAGCCCTCTGCTTCTCAGGCTGTATTGCTCTACTTCCTGGAAGAAACATTTAAATCCAGGTTCAGGTCAATGGAATTTATCAACATAAAGGGTTGTTTTCACAATCCATTGGTATACATTGTTCAGACACTAATATCTGGGGCAGTCATCATGCCTATACTCCTCGCAACAATACAGAAAAGTCACTAAACCTGTTATACATGGAGTAGTAGTTAGGTCTGGCTCATGCTCACCTGCATATTAGTTGCTGGCGTGTTTTGGAGATATGGAGCACTCAAAACCTGAAAAAGGTAAAATTGCAATGACCATTAAGTCGTGGTTATAGTTGTTCTTTTATACACAACAAAAAGAAATTCAGTGTAACATACTTGATACATAAACATCAAGATGTTGTAGTAACTCTTGAACAAAAATCTCCATTTTTAATTTAAAACTTGGCTGATAGGGGTGAAAGAATAATTTAGGTAAAAACAAGAAGGAAAAGACAAACCTTTACTTGATCATGAAGAAATTGTATATATTCCATTGCCTCCAAAAGGACAGAAGCTGTATCTGTCTGCAATGAAATGAAAAGAACTTAATGTTTACAGCAAGATAAGCAACTTCATCAAAGCTAGAATGAAGAGTTGAATAAGCACAATGACGCCTACTCATAACCAATTTTGAGTCAGCATTGACAATCAAAACAAGCTAAGGAACAAATATATGATTCAATTTTTCACCTTGTAGGACTTAATAGACAAATAAACCTGTGGCCTACATATCAATGTACTGAACTTTTGAAGGTATCCCTCATAAATTTGCAACATGTACCTTTCCATAGGGTGAAACAAGCTGTTGCAGCGCGACAACACGTTCGCCAAGTTTCTCCTTCCTCTCCTATTGCCAGAAAAGTAAATTAAGGCTATTATCAGCAACAAAGACATCATATAGGCTGTGGTGGTAGGTTTATGGACAGTGAAGGATAAAGCTCAGCTTTTAGTATAACTCCAGCATTTTTTCCTTTGAAAACAATGCACAGTTATCATCTAGCTTCACATATAAACTTCTGCAGTTTCTGGTATAGGTAGACAATTTGGTATCTAAAATCACCTCTTTCAAGTTTTATCTTTACCTAGGAATATAGCTTATATGAAAACGCTTCGTTTTTCCCGGTTACCATAATTATGTTACAACAAATTAGCATAATGTCAAATTGCATATGTTAATCCGCTTGATTTAGCAGATTGCACAGAGAGATCAGAAACGATGAAAATCAAATCAAAATCAAGATGAACTGATGATGTTAATAGCAAATAACACAAACATTGATCTACCTCTAGAATAAAATGGAATTGATATAAAAAATATCAACATATTGGGATTAAGTAATAATCAAAGCTTTTTCAGCACGACTTTTCATGGCCACTGACTCACAGGTGTAATTTGGTACATCTACAACATGAACGTGGAAAAAGAAATAAACTCCAAAGTAAATGAAAAGAGGAGGAGGTTAAGAAAACCTTTGTGGAGATAGATAGATCAGCCTTCTGCCGTTTGGATGCCAAAGTAGAGAAACTATGGTGGTCAAGGTCAACTGAGCATGGGCTTCTTTTATGTTCCATCATCTCTTCAGTCTTTATCCCTCCAACTCCCTGGTTACAAAGAGCAAAAACAGAATCACCTCACTAAAAGAAATATACACCACTTTGAGAGAGTAGACATCACAATAACATCAGAGAAAACAACTACACCGTTGCAATTAAATCAATAATCCAGAAGTTCTTCCATGTTTTCAACCTATTTTAGACTAAGTCAAAGTTTAATCTGAGAAACCAATTATTGCAAAATCAAGAGTAACAAATTAATTACTGAGAGGGTTTTCTGTGAATTGCAAAAAAAAAAAAATAGAAACCCCAACATTCAGGGGTCAAACAAAATGCTCAAAATCATATCCAGGGGAGTGTAAAGCAACTAGCCTTGTTCTGGGGGATGGCTGTTCCCTTACCAATGAAGTGGGTCACTTCACCAAGGTCACATGACTACTGCACATTGACATGAAGAATCCAACAATATACAAGAAGCATGAAACCGCCCGTGTGGTTACAGCAAAAAAGATGTATAAATATTACACTTGACCATCTTTTTATCGAAGAAGCATCATCCCCTTCTCAGTACACATTAAATTACTACCAATTTATATAATAGATGACAGCATGCCTTGTCCATTTCATATAACCCCAAAACAAAAACTTCTCCTGTCAGTACATATTAACCCTCCGTTCGACACTGGAAGACATAATATTAAACAATCATCCATCAATATAATTAGAACTTCATTATTAAATTACACCTTAATATTCTAACATTTTGTATAAACCATAGACGACAGTGTGCCTTGTCCATATCATAACCAAAATAACACATGTTCCTTTTGGTCAGCCGAAAACCCTCTGTTCGACCCCAGAAGACATAATATTATAAACAATCATCCATTAACATAACTGGAACCTTTCAATTAAAAATGATATTACTACAATTAAACCCTGTAAGCTTACAAACAGACAACAGTTGCGTGAATCAACAACTAAAAACACAATTAACAACTTAAGAATCGACAACAACACATATAATAAAGAAAGCATGGAATTATAAGTCTATGCACCGGCACTACATCGGAACCACAAACCTTACCAACCATCTAATTATAAATCAATCCATAATTTGATTAACCATAACAAGAAGGAACAAAAATCAAGCAGAACTGCATGGTGAAGAAGGCAACAAGTTTAGTGAACTACACTTTGAATGAAACCCAAATCATGATGATTTCTTCTGGATTCATCATCACAATTTGACCGAGAAAGATCCAGATGGTAAATAACAAAAGATCTTTCGTGGGCCCAGATTATGCTTAAGGTAGCAAAAGCATGCATGAATGAACCATAAATTTATCAAATTTGCAGATGTGATCTTTTCATTCCACCAAGTTTCCCTTTTTTATATATAATATAAGACTTTAATAATAGCAAACAAAGATTATATTAATCAAACACAAAAACAACCATTAGCAGACAAATGTTTGAATAATCTACACATCATTTCCTACTTCAATTCCAATTCAAACCGGAACCACCACCACCATCCAAAAACAAAAAACTAAAAGGAGAGGATATGATTCCAATTACCAAGAAGTCTAATTTGAAGGGTAAATGAATACCATGTCCGATACATGTAAACTGGCACAAGCTAATGCAATAAACTTGATTAAAAATAAGGAAAATTTAAGATACTTATTACGTGAGTAGAAGTCTTGAACAAGGAAGAACTGAAAAATCAGAAGGAAGCAAGGAAACATTTATCAGTTCTGTGATTGGAAACTTACCAAAAACACATGGTCTGTATTGCTGTGAGAATCAGAATAAAATCTCTACCTTGCAAGTCGAAATCTTCAAAACCCCCTTAGAGAAACACCCAATTTCAACAAAAGTTTTAAGTAAAAGCCAAAAAAATATGACTTTGAGTTCAGTTTTTATTTTTTTTCAACAAAACTTGTACCCAAAAGTCAGTGCTCCTATTTTCCCAGAACAAAAGAATCAGTTCCTACTTTTCTTTATGAAAAAACGAAACACTTTAGCTGAAACCTGTCAGTTTTTGCACCGGAAAGTTGAAAACTTTAGCTAAGAGTCAAAATCCTTGGACTGCAAAAACTAAAGAAGTTTGCTTGAAATCGGTAAAAATTGAAATAGGAACCGAGTGTTGGAATGGCAGGAGTAAGCCGTAAAAGGGTGTCAGAAAAGCAGAAGAAAATAAGGACCACTGAAACTCCGGCGAGGGAGAAGGAGGGAGTGCCTGTGAAATATATGCGTGTGGATGAAAAGTTTAGGAAAGGGGAGGACCAAATTGTTGTTTGAGTATGTTTTATAAGGTTTTGGAAATAAATAAAATAATATTTTTTTTATAATGAAAAAGGAAAATGGGAAAGTATATTGTAAATAGTTTGTTTTTGTTTTCTAAATTGACAGCTAATATCCAACCAGGCAAGCAGCAGCCAATGGGAGATTTTGACAGGAAGACTGATTTAACCTTAGATTTATGCCTTTTTCACATTGAAAAGTATGATTTTTTTTTTATAAAATTTAATATAAATATTTTAAAACTTTTTGTTTTTTTGAATGAAGCTCCAAATATGGGAGAGGACTCAAACTCCAATCCTCGAGCTGGAGGGATACACTTTATAAATCAGTCTAAAATTGTTAGATTTTTAAATTCAGATGTATTTTAATATTTTTATACCTCGTATATATTTTTTTGGATATAATTTTTTTTAATATTAATCTTT